CTTCTAGCTCCCTTACACAAATATGTCATCTTTATACAGAATTGAGAATCTGATTTTGAGGGCTGGGACGCTCATCCATGTTACCTTCACTCTGCTTCAGTTACTGTTTTCAATAGCACATTGTTTCTTGAGCTAGTACAATAGCCTCCAAATTTATCACCTTTCCTATTTTTGCCTATTAAGGACACACATTATGCATGCACATACATTTATGTACTCATTGCACTCATGAAAACATATGGGCACATACATGTAAAATATAATAAATAATTTACAAAACCAAAGTATTCATATAGGCAAGAGAACTGTCAATGAGAATGGTAGTGTCTAAAATGTTTTTCAAAAGCAAGGTATTTAACTAAAACAAATACCAATAAGGTAATAGTTGTTTTTAAAAGAGCATGAGATGGCTGAGAGGCCAACAGGGGACTGATCTAGACTCCATGAATGTAGTGTCAGTAAAGAAGCCACAGAAATCACTGGGACCTTGGGTAGTACATCAGTGTTTACCATGGTGTATGAATGAACTTTGGGAGCCCATTCCAAATAGAGGGATGCTCTCTCAGCCTGGACACATTGGGAAGGGCCTAGGTCCTGCCCTGAATGAAATGACAGGCTCTGGAGATCCTCCCAAGGAGGGCCTCACCCTCCCTGGGGAATGACGTGGGGGTTGGGTGGGGAGCTTGGGGGGCTGTTGGAGGGATTAGGGAGGAGGGGTGGGAGAGGGAGCTGGGATTGACACTTGAAGCATTCATGTTGCTAATTTAAATAGAAACATATATTGAGGGGAAAAAAAGAGCACGAGAGCTGCTATTCCCAAAACTGTCAATCACCACAAATCAGGGTCTACACTAGCTACATCTCACATCTATGGAGCACGGAAGACATTGTGAAGTATGGTCTGTGAGGTACAGATTAATAGACACATAGCGCTGAAAAGAGGGTGATGCAAATGTGGATCACATGGCTCTGTTTTCTTTTCATTTCAAGTGAGAAGAATCCATTTATAAAGCATTTACATTAAGTCTAAAGGAAGTTTGGTGGTGAAAAATTTCAGAGAGTGTAGCACTGTTGAAGTAGTCACTTGGAGAATAAGTTGAAGTTTTCAGAAGAATAAATTGGGAGACTATTACAAATAGGGAAAAACCACATGAACTGGTTTTTGTCTTAGAGCTTGGAATGGGGGAAGACAAGCTTATGTCCAGCAATATGACATCTAATACAGTAGCTGCTAGAGACTGGTTAGGTGCATTCAAACTGATATAAGCTGAACAAAATTCAAAACATAGTATCTTTATAGTATTATTACAGCACATGCCTAATAGTCACATTTGGCTTCTACACTGGGCAAAATCAATAGAGGATATTTTCCTAATTTCATTGGACACCACTGGCTTACAACTGCAGCTTTAGGGATGAAATTACCCATTTTGAAGACAGACCAGAGTTTGTGGGCAGTTTGTGCATATCCAGTGTCATGTTAAGACTATAGCTTTTATGCTTTTTGTTTTGGTGTGTCAGAGAAATTTCCAAATGGAATGGCATAGTGGTATCTATATACTGTAAAGATAATGGGAGATAAGGACACAGTGTGTATTCTTTAATTGCTGAAGAGGTGAGACCAAAATTTGGAGACTGCTGTAATAGGTTAAGAAGTTATCTGGAGCCTCAAGGGGAGTTAATGTGTGCCTACCAATCCTCCAATTTACATAAACCCTCCTTTTCGTAAAGGGCTAATGTCTTTTCTAGCCAGTACAAGTCTGCATGAATAAACATTAACCTACCCTTCAGAGAATGTAACAGAATAACAAACACCTGTGTCAATCTGCAATTTCACAAATCATAAAAGATCTTTTTTCTTCTGAAAGGGTGTTGGACAACGTTCCCGGGAGGTGTTTTTCTGATATTGGTAATATGTGGAATAGAGAAAAAAATGCTGCTTAAATAATTATAAAATGTCAGCGCATGGCGGGATGTTCAATGAGACAGTAATCATTGAATGTCGATTGCAGCAACAGCCAGGTGATGTGCCTCGCGTGCAATGAGGCCCCACTCACAGTTAGCTGTTTTGTCATCCTAATAGCATCCTTTCATGTTACCCTTCATAGTCTAAATAAGCAGATTGATCACTGAATGAGACTCTCATTTTAAAAAGCCTAAATTGACACTAATAGCAGTATTTGAATGCAGTTGTAGCCAATGAACAAAAACAATAACGTATATGTGAGGAATGAAGGTTCAGAGATTTCAGAATTAAAATTATGTCCATTCTTGTGGCTTTCTTTTCATGGATATTTTCACTTATTTACAATAATTGTATAGACTATTTCAAAGCAACACTGACAGAAAAGGAGAAAGGTTGTTTGAAATATGGCATTTTTACATATATATGTGTTAAATTTTACATGTACATTTATGAACAATTTCAATGCCACTTTTGTATCCTCTTAACTCTAAATTTTATCATGTTTTACAATGTAAAACATAAATACAAGCTTATTGTCCATCTTTTTAATTGATATTGTTACCCTTTATTTCTGTGAATTTTACTGCTTCTTTCTAAATGATTTATTGTATTTTATTATGTGTATGATGACTGTGTGCGCATATGTGCATTGAGTACAGGGACCTTAAAGTCCAAAAGAAGAAAGTGGATCCCTCGGAACTACAGTTACAGGTATCTGTGAAGCATTCATATTGGGTGCTAGGACATCAATCTCAGCTCCTCTGAATGAGTCATACGCCTTATGTGCTCTTATGTGAGGCCTTTCCCTACCCCTTCTGGACTATTTATTGTGTGTAGAGTATAGTCTTCCTTTCCAGTTGCTTGGGCCCTGCCACGCTGTCTGAACCCACAAATAACACACTGGACACTATATTAACTATGAAGCTTTTGGCCATTTGTTTGGTTTCTTACTGGCTATTTCTGACATAAGTTTTTTTTTTTTAATAGCTTGTTTTACATGTCAATCCCAGTTCCTTCTCTCTGCTTCTCCCCTCACCTTTTCCCTCTCTCCCTCCCCAACCCCCCCCCCCATGCTCCCAATTTCAGGAACTCTTGTCCCTTTCCCCTTCTCCTGGGTCCATGTACTCCAGAACAGATGATAAGAAGCTAGGACTATCCACTTTGTTAACGTGAGGTCTCCCACTGAACCCAGGCCTCACTAAGTATGCTACTAGGCATAGTCATCTTATCCTTGGATCCTCTGTCTCTTGTCTCCCTAGATCTGTTCTAATCATCAGCCACCACACCTGCCAGTCATTTAACTTGATTCTGAGAATCTGTGCTTGACTGCTCTGACTTGCAGAGCAAATGCTCTATCCATCAATCCGTTTCTCAGCCTGCATGAGCTCAATGTTTAATACTTATCATTCTGTATTTTTCCTATTCAATAGCTTTGAATTATAATTCAAATTTTAAGAAGGCCACATATCTGTTTGATTTTTAATACTTCCCACAAATATCTTACATGTCTTTGCAAAAACAGCTTTTCAAAATTTAACTTAAAGAAAAGATGATCAACATCTACATTAGAAAGAATTAAGCTTAGTAAAATGATTTTTATAGTTTTGACTTCTAATTTTTTGCTTCATGACAACAAAAAAGTGAGTATACTGAGAATTAACACCCACAACTTAGGTAAATCAAGACATTCAGAAAGTTCTGAAGGACAGAGGGTAACTAAAGTCCTCTTGTCATTTTAAAGGATTGTTTTTCTTGTAACTGTTCTTGTTGTTAGCAGTGTGCATACTTGTGCTTTACCATGAAGTTTATAATCTGCTATGACATGACCTTTTCACAAAGCAATAACAACAGAAAAGCAACAGCAGTAGTAAGTGCTGACTACTTGCCACCAAATGCTTGCTGTACATGCCCCATTTAATCACCAAGCTTATCTATCATATTGCAATTGCTACCTTTGAGTGGCGGGCATCTCAGAAACAGAGGAACAGCCCCATTTTATGTTCCAGTTCAAGCAAGCACTGTTTCATGGAGCACATCTCTCCGAAGTGTGTCTAAAGTGCTTCATCTATGTTACACAGCCTTTGACTCTCACCCGAGTTATGATATTTTCAAATATTATTCATATCACAGATGGATATTCAGATCCTGAGTCAATATGGTTTCTCAGCAGGTAAAGATACATGCTACAAAGACTGACAGTCTGTTCAATATCAGGCCACAAGAACTTGACATATATCTTGTAATATATGCATGTTCATTCTTACACACCTGCACACAAATACACACACAAAGAAATCTAATAAAATAAAAATTTTACTCAGAATCTATGATGAAATATTATTTTGATATTTACCTCAAATAGTCCTGGTAAAATAAGAGTTGTCAATACCATCAAACAGAGTTTGATTTTTCTGTAATATGTAATAAAATCTATGTAGGCGCTAAAAGAATATCCACAGGAGGGATTGCTGCATTATTCAAATGGGCCTAGGCTTGCACATCTATTGCTTCTAAACAGAGTTTTAAAATGTTTATAATGTGGCTGTTTGCATTGACTCTTTCCTATATGTGTCATATTTTTCTGTCCTTTCTGGCTTTCAAACTGTTTTCAACAGCAGAATGTTTCTTCTTGTTGTTCTTTTCTCATTATAACCAAGATAAGTAAATTATATAGTGTTCAATATCAAAATACTTATGTCATTGTAATTGTGAATGTTCAACACCACAGGAACATAAAGGTTATTCTCATTTTATACTTAGATTCATGGTTAAGATTTTTGTAGCTTAACTTTCTAGAGGTATTTAATGAGTTTTATTTCTACAGTGGTTTTTTTCATCATTTTGGGGATAGAAGAAAATTTAATCATAACAGTAAATCGAAATCTAAAAACACATTGTAATGGAACATGATCAATATTTGGAAGTCCTTTTTAAAAGACTCATTATCAGTTTCCTGCAGCATCCTTGGCAGGGCTATGTTTATTTTCTTTGATTCTGTATCTTTGTCTCACAGTCTCATTTATCATTTTCTCAGGTATCCCCAGGCCTCCATGCTGGTTCCACCTTGATCCCCATGAACAGCATTTCTCTGCCTCAAGGGGAGGATGATTACGGCTACCAGTGTTTGGAGGGCAAAGATTGTGCTAGCTTTTTCTGCTGTTTTGAAGACTGCAGGACAGGGTCCTGGAGGGAAGGACGGATACACATACGCATAGCCAAAATTGATTCCTACTCAAGAATCTTTTTCCCAACAGCTTTTGCCTTGTTCAATCTTGTTTACTGGGTTGGATATCTTTACTTATAAATTTTAAGTGATAAAAATCATAAAAGCCTGGCTTAGTCCAATGTACTCAGTTGTATTCCAGTAACATGAAGTTTAAATTTAAAATGAAAGAGTCCATTGGTAAAAATCTGAATGGTACTGTTATAAGACTAGGGCTTTCATACACAAGTAAGACAGAAGTATTCAGGTTAATTTATCTAAATGGACATGAAATTGATAGTCAGGTACAACACATTGAAATTATAACATATATTTTAATTTACTTTTCTTTATTTTGCTTGTGTACTATTAATATTCGAACTTAATACTTCTGTGAGACATATTTTGAATATGAAATAATTTTAATACATATTTTATTTAAATATAACTATTGCTTATAATGAAAGATTAATGCCTAATATTACAATATTCTTTGCCTAGATTAGTTATTAGTTTAATTTTATTTCTTGTTTTACTTGCCAATTTGGGGATATAGATGATTGTTTAAAACAAAGCCATGATTTTCTCAGATTTACTTCCAGGATATGTTACTCTTGAGAAGAAAATAGTATGTGTGTTAATTCCTTTTTAAATAATTTCTCTTGTGAACTGTTAATGTGCAACTGTACGTATTTATGGATTTGCAAAATAAACAGTGCTGTTATGTCTTATGTTTGAAATGTGAAACAATTAAATCAAACTACTTGGCAATTACAGTTTCTAAAATGGCCAGTTTTATCTGTAATCCTGTGCATTTTCTGCTCAATAGTTAAAAAAATATCAAGCCACATTTAATCTGAAGATTTTTCAAACTTGGATATAAAATACTAAAGCCATTTTTAAATTTTTTGTAATGCAAGATGGGAACAAAATCAAAATTATTTTCTGCTTTGCACGATTTATGAGGTATAAAGTGGTTAGTGCTAAAAGGTTATAATGTACCAACAAAGAAATCAAGTGGGAAGTGTTCTGTTTTCATTATGTGCTACAAAAGAGTGTCACAAATTCAAATAAGCAGTAGACGAAATGCTTGATTTAACAGTGCTTAAGGAATCATCTGGCAATCTAAGCTGCAGATTGTCTTGAAGAAAGACTTAAATATATCTACTGACATTTTATAAAGCAGATATAGTTAGGAAACCTTACCAAAAAATTTATATACCCACTGATTTCTGAGGTGAGTTTTACAACTACATTATAATCACTGTTTTCTTTCTTTGAGACATGTGTGAATCCTTGAAATGCATCTTACAAATGGACTTTGTGAGAGGCATCTGTAGTGAACTTGAGTCAGGACATCCTGAAATCCCTAAAGTGAGAAGCAGGCTCTAGAGAGCCTTGCTGTAGAAAACTTATTGCAGTTGTCAATGCTACATCTGTGAGTGGAGGCTTCAGGTTGGACATAAACAGTAGAAGTCTTCACTGTGAGTCTGGAGAGATGGCTCAGTGTGCATGGCCATTCTATGTTCTTGCTGAGGATCCAGGTTCAGTTCCTAGCATCCACATGGCAGGTTACAACAATCTGTAATACAGGGAGCTTGAAGCTTTCATCTGGTGTGGCTGAGACTGCATGTACATAGTACACATGCATACAAGCAGTCAAATACTCACATACAACATAAATTTTCAATGGTCACAGCAGCTATCCCTGTGAAAGGTATCATGAACAAGGGCGTGTAGGGTTTGAAGAGGAAGCTGCCATGTGGTTGCTTGACACACAGGTTTTTATTTCAATAATTGCTCCACTCGATGTGGCAATCTCTGGGTGAAGCCCAGATGTACATACCATGTGTGTTCCCCAGCTAAATACAACTACTTCATCTTTCTCGCCGTCCTCTTAAAAACACACAAGAATTGAAGGATAATAAAATGTTAATTTTAAATGGATAGCAAAATGAAAATTTATCTATATATGTATTAACATTTAGATATTCTGCTCTCTTACATTGACAGCATTAATTACTGGTATATGTTAATAAGATTAATATTCATTTAAGTTATAAATGAAGTATGGAGTATCATTAAGGGGTAACATGCTTCACAATATTTTTATGGCTATTTCCATATTTGTAGTGATGGCTTGCTCATTGTTAACCATGTTTACTTAAGGGGCTTTTTGGTTTGTATCGAAGCATGACTAATTGTAAAAATACTTTTAAATGCTTGGTATAAATACCCTTGAGTTTCTCATTGATATTTTATTAATGAGGCTAAATGTTGACAATATTTAAAGGTGAAAATAAAATTGTTAAAAATATTATATGTTTTTACATATATTCCTTGTATATAACATTAATTAAGCACTTTGTTTCAAAGCCAGTGGTATAGAATTTAATAGAAAGATTAGAAAAAGAGGCATGCAAACCTAATTACTTCTAAACCTAGAAACAAGCAGATAAAATTGTATTTAGACCTTAAGGAATAACATAGGGCTTAAAACTTATTTTTAAGGAAGTACAACCCAATTCTTGTTTTCCTTATTTTCAAACTTAAAGTCAACTATGATGAACTACTTAAATAAATGCATCTTCTTTTTTTCTAGACGAGTTGTAATAATTTATTAGGTTAATGTGGACATTTTTCCTACACACATGGGAAAATGATTTTTCAATGCTGACATAAAGCAAAAATATATTCACTAGGAATGACAAAAATATCAAACAGGAAGTTGTAAAATCATTTGAAAAGGTGTTAATTCATATAGATCCAGTTTCTATTACACAACCACGATTTAAAATTTTTAAGAAGCTGAATGTGCACAGCAACATTTAATCTACTTAGATTAAACAGCATAGTAGCATTTTGTGTACTCTTGAATTGCATCCTAAGTGGTTTTCTCTATATACTCCATTATATCCAGATTATTATTTTCAACAGTAATTTTCACACAACTTAAAATGCAAACACAAGAACTGGCTTTGCATTTGCTAACAAAGCCTGGCCATTTGGGATGACCTTTGGGACAGAGTTTTGTGTTCTCCCATGTTAAATTGACATGCCTACACCAGCCTGCAATTGAAATAAAATGATGCCAATCAGGGAAACAATGCCAGCTGAGTCTGCCCTTCCTGTGGTAGGACTCTGAGGAGCTGAGTATATTGTGTGTATGGTGTACAGAAAAAAAGTTTCAAGAAATTACTTCCAATTTCTAGTGGAACATATGTTAAATGTCTTAAAATGGCTGCTGTGACACTTCAACCCCAAATCTGGAACCATGAGATAACTAACTATAAAGGGGTTTTCAACATAGAAAATGTGACAAGGATGAAAATAAGCGCTGGTACAGAAATTTGAAAAGTGTGTATACAGATACAGACACAAACACAGACTGTGCAAATACTGGTATAAACATGTTTACTAATTTGTTGTTTATTCAATACTTGGTCATTAGAGTAAATTTACTGATCCCGTTTAAGTTATTTTTTTGTGTAATCCAAGTATAGTTCATACTTAGACAAAATGTATTTACTTCAGACACATGTTCTGAGTGGTGCCCCTGGTTGAAATTTCTTTCTGCTTTTCTGCTGCTGAGCCTTTAGCAAAAGTGCAAACATAATGTTGTCTGTTCTGAAAGAAAAAGGAATCAACCATTTTATTACTGGACAAAGATATCAGAACATGAGAACGTAGTGAATGTAGAATTTTTGCTTACTTACAAAACCATACTCTTGTTTTGTATAGTTGAAGACTTCTTAAAATATATTCATGAATGCTCTAACTTCAAAATGCATTGAATGAATTCTCATTTTTTACATCAAAACTTCATTATGTGGGTTAGTTGGAGAATTTTCCTGCCTGTCCACCAATTTTCTGATATTCTGCTCCTTATTTTATTCTACAACAATTTGAAACCACAGGGTTTAACTCGAACACATTCAATTTTATATTTACTTAATTTTGAGAAATTAATTGATTTTAGATTAATAAACATTGCATTGAGATATTTGAATACAAAGGAACCATTAATTAAATTGCAGGGTGTTTATGCTTTGAATGTGATTGGATATTAGAGATCCAGAATTAACTAATATATACTGTATTTTGAGACCTTCGCATGAAAATCTTAAGTACATGCATGCTTGTGAATGGATACTAAAGCAATTTTTGGATATATTAGTCTTGTTTACAATTGCTCTTTGTTCCTATTTAATTTACATAATCTGTGTTTTTGTCTCATTGTGTATGAAGAAAAGGAATTATATCTTAGAATATAAGTGATGGGTAATCTATTTATGTAATTTTTATAAAATATATTCCTTATTAAAAGTTTTCCACTCAATACATTTCTCAGAGATATTTGCCTCAAAATCTGAACCAAGAAGGATCTTACTATGTAGGCGTTTTTGTTTTTTATTTTTGTGATCATATTTGTAGGAAATATGCTCTCAGTTTCTACATCCAATGGTATGAGTTCCATACATTTTTGTCAATATAAGAAATAAAATTTCCTTGGAAATTCCTGTGAAGAGACAGTTCATATCTTTGAGTAAATAGGAAAAGAATAAGCATAAGGAGTAAAAATCATCACACCTCCATAGAGGTGTTCAATGTAGAACAAAGGAAAACACCAATCTTCTAATTCCCAGCTCTATCAGCTTCCAAGTGCTACTATTGCAAACAGTGAGACATTTCCCCGAAACTTGAACTTCTAATCTGTGGGTGCACTTCTTATTTTTCTTTTTGTTGTATACTCAACAATCCAACTCTAAATTTAACCAGTCATTCAATCTTGTCTTCTCTTTCTCATGGGCCATCATGGTGGAGGGCTTGAAATATATATATATATATATATATATATATATATATATATATATATATATTATATTCTAAAATGATCTAAGATATGGGAATGGTGGAATATGTCCATTATCCTAATACTTGAGAGTTGAGAGGGCACGCAGGAGGACTGGAGACTCCAGGCCAGACTATGTTATTATTCTGTCTTTATAAAAAGTAATTCTCCTGTTCTATTAATTTTTTTCTTTTTTTCTGGAAACTTTTAATGGCTTCCAGTATCTCCCTGTGTTACATTGTAAATCCTATAGTTGATAGTCAGATAGTACACAAAACAATAAAAAAAGTTTTCCACCCCAAATATAAGTTCTTTACAACCAAGAAATACACCCTCCCTCCTCCCACACACTTGGACAAAAATAAATAGAATGTTGTATTTCAGATTGTAAAATGGCTGCTTCACAGGCATGATGACCTGATTTTACATCCCCAGTACCCTTGTAAAATACAAGACATGGTGGTATATGCTTATAAATCACAGTGTTGGGTATCAGAGACAGAGAGAATTCATATGTTCAAATCAATGAGCTCCAGGGAATATGTGAAACCCTGTCTCACATGGTGAGGTGAGGTGAAGACCAATCAAGCACACACACACACGGGCATGTGCATACATCAAATACACACAATTTCATACGGACAAACACATATAATTTTAATGTAAGTAAATCATTATTGGAACTGATATATCTAGTGAGTAGTTTTATTTTTTGACTTATAAACAACCTCTGATCATTTGTCACATGAAATAGATGAATATTTCACCATTAGGCAGTGAAATGAACAAGAACTTGGTGAGGCCGTGAATAAGAAAGATTGTGATAACTGGAAAGCAGGTAAGTAAATGGGGATTATATAAAGATTATAAAGCAGAGTTTACTTAAAAGAAAATAGTTTGTGTCTTGATAAGTCACTGTAATAACAGTTATTTGCATCCATTAAGTGTGCACAGCCACTTCACATAATAAAGTATCAGACTTGTGATTACAGTGACTTTTGTTCTGCTTCTGCCTCCTCATTTTGTGGAACATTTGCAAATGTCTCACAAAAAATATTGCAATTTTGAAAACATTTTGTACCTTCCTGATTCTAAGTATAAAGTAAATCCAGTAACTTTTTATGACATAAAGAGTTTCAGGTTGCATTTTCTTAAAATGTGTCCTTTTGATAGTTTCACAGATAGTACCTTTTCTCTGGTCATGTCAGCATGAAGGTAACTCTGGTTAAGTTTTTTTCATATTTATCTCAATCAAGAAAATTAATCATTTTTGATAAGATGTTTTTAAAGGAACTAAGCTATAAGAGATCAAGTAGGCATGATTGTTCATGATTTTCATTGTTAAGTATGTATTTCTGGACCATTCCAAAAATTAGTTATTTGATTTAAGTTATAATTGCCTCAGTAAATCCAAAGGAAGGAAGGAAGGGAGGAATGAAGGAAAGAAGGAAAGAAGCAAGGAAGGTGGTAGTTTTTCTTGGGTATCTGCTGTGTGCTGCACTTTTAATGAGCTACATATTAATATTTTAATTTTAAGGAATGGAAATGTGTTTCACAATGAGAAAACAAGCTCAGAATGGAAGATCAGTTCTCCAAGCCCTTGAATTTGGAAGTAAAATAGAATTTGTTTACCTCTGATCACATTAACTATCATTCAATTATACAGGATAATCCTGATGGCAAAGTGATTGCTCATTTTCTAACAATTTAACACATTGTTTTCACAAAAGAGAAGTGAGTTCCAGAAAGAGGAAACTCATTCTTTTCTGTTCAAACTGTAAAATCAACACCCCAAGGTGTTCATTGATAGTACAAGAGCATCTTCGTTATTCTCTCATTATTTCCAAAGTGCATTTTGTTTCAGCTGAGTGGTACGTATAGCAAATAGACTTTTAGAGAGATTGGTTAGTTAGGAATGGTAGCACATGCCTTGAATCTCTGCTCTGGGCAGCTAAGGGCAAAATGATTGTGAGGTTAAAGGCAACTGGGCTAGCCAAGGAGACCTTGCAGTAAAATAAGCAAAATAAGCAAACCAACCAACCCACAAACAAAACCCCAAAAGTATATGAAACAAACCAAAACACAAAAGTTCTGAGCTTTTGGAAATGACGCTATAAACTACAGGCTACTAGTGTCTTAGGTCATACACACAACTATTGATTTACATATCACCCAGGCTGCTTTTCGGCTATAATGAGAATATAGTGGGTACTTCAGAATCAATTAGACAAGACAACTAGAATATCACTTACTCTCTCTCAGTTAACAAAAGAAGTTTGCTGATACCCATTTCACAACAGATTTACAGTGCCAATTAGAAAGTGCCATACCAGAAAATGTAACTTATTTTGACTTTTCTTAAATTTTTTATTTAAATTTCAAAAAATAAGATACAATTGATTAAAGTGAGTTTCCTGTAAAGCAGTTTTTTTTCTCCCTTGCCTTTCAATGAATCTTGCAAAGAC